CCTGGATAACAGACAATCTTGTGGAAAGATGGGACTGTTTTCAGCCTTTTGTAGTTTGCTTAACCCCTTGTGTCTCTGGTGTAAGACAGATGGCTTTTTCTCTTTAGGAGTTGCACGTTGCAAGGGTGGGTGGGGGAGGTGCATATTACTCTCGGTACCATTTGTGGCCTTTGACACTTCCTTGGAGTTTGGTTCCTCCCGGACTGAAGGCCATTGGAAAACGAAGGGAAAATGTTGCACGGGAGCGGAACGAGGTCCTCTGTCGGGAGAAACAGTCCATGGGGATATCCTGGCTGATGATCGTGCTGGAAGAGGAGCAGAGATCGTATGACCGTATGGTAGTTTCTTTCCTTGCCTTGAAGTTACCAGAGACACATTGTCAATTGAAATTAATTCTCTCGGACGCCTTGAGGTAGTTTGCACTCTGTACTCGTTGACATGCTCGTTTGAGGAAGGTGCCATCATTATCTGTCGTGTTTCTTCAAGATGATTTGTTCCACTTGCAAGAGATTGTAAAGGATTTTTTGTCTTCTCTTTTGAAATGGCCCCTTGGGATGACTGTAAAGGAAAGATCTTTTCCTCAACTAAAAACCATTCGTCCTTTTTTGGCAGCATTTCTCGTTTGCTTTCGTTTTCCATCGCAGCAGCTATGGTTAAACTCCATAAACGGCAGTTTACCATGACCTGTCAAGCCCAGAGAGGGCTGTTATATAACTGACAGAGAAGACCAACAAGGAAAGTTTTCCTTTAGATTTTACCGCTAGCCAACCGCAGTTCAGATTGCAACTCGCCAGTATTTCATAATCGTTAGGTAATCAATGGAGAACTTAAAATAGCTGATTTAACTGACACTTTCGTTGGAAAATTCATTAAACCAAACATCAATCGAAGAAAACTCTGAATTTCGCAAGTTGAGTCCAGCAAAACCTCGTGTACGCCAGCTATTACGAAATACGATCCCTAATTTAACGTAATCAGCGGCAATTTCAAATTCAAAACGCCTTTTCACGGAAAAGCGGCGTTCTTTTGATCTCTCGAGGCAGGAACTTTGAGGAAAGGAGTGTCTGTTAATTTAAATAATCTAACAGCAGTCGGCACGTTTCAGAGACACGCCCTTCTAAACCTACTTCCGTGCCATCTTCAAATTAAGGAAAATTAATTAGTTGGGAAACTTTGAACACAACCATTGTTTTTTTTTTCTTTAATTATTGCTTCGTAATCAACCATTTGTTAAATGAATTATCGTTTCTTGAATTTTCGAAATTAAAAACCATGCAAACGATATTTGGTGCCTTCCTTAATGTTCCTTGAATTAAAAATAATTTCCTTGAACGACAACCGATTCCAGCTTGAAATATCTGAGTCGTTGTCCCATCAATTTTCTTTTTCATCAAATATTCAGAATGAATCAAATTAAGATCTCGATTCAAATCACTCAAACTTACCACCGCTACAATTCAAGACAAGAACGAAGCGCTTACAATTGTTTCTAAAAAAAAAGTTTTCGATGAAACAGCAGCTAAAGGATCAAGATGATGATCTGTAATAGGAAAGTAGGAAATAGACCTTGTGAGTATTACTAGCCAGTGTTAGACTGCTAACAATCCCTCCTTTACGGCGAAATCCGTCGTACGAGTCAAAAAAATCAACGAAGAAAAAAAATTGTTCTTGCGCCACGCGGAACTATGGGAGTGAGGCTCTTGGAAAGTGTGCCTCACTCCAAGAGCTCCGTGCGGCGTGCCAGAGGCCAGTCATTTTTGTCTAATCAGCATTAATTTGTAATGATGGTTGTTTCTTCTCTTTCTGTCTTAAAAGAGTTGGTACCGTATCGAGAAACATCTCGATCCAAGCCTCGTATCCAGTTTCATTGCAAGACTGTTTCAGTGATAGTTTTACGGTAGGATCCAAGTGCGAGATTGTCTTCATCCTTTGAACCATACAAAGCACGAATTGCGAAACTTCAAGCAGTTGAGACAGGTGGGCGTGGTTAAAGATACGTCAACTGATTAATTTCCTTAATTTGAGACACAGGTAAAATGTCCGTTAATTAAGGTGCGACTTGGAAAAATGCCGACTGCGCATACTTCAAATAGATACGTTTCCACACTACTTCCATAATATTATTTTCACCTGCTTCACCTTCACCTTCACCTTCATTCAGCAGGTTGCGCAATTCAGATTTCCTCAATCAATCTTTGGTTTAATTGTTACAAGGAACCCATCACATGTCACTTTCACTGATCCTCATTTTCCGATTGGCTTGTTATGTTTTTTTTTTTTTAATGAAGAAAATGCTCACACGTTACCTACCAAATGAGTATTGGTTGGTGAAAAACTGAAAATGGAATTCTGCGCTCATGGTCATTTGCTTTAATTTACTTGGGATTAAAACCCCGTGTTGCGTCTGAACATTACTTAGAGACAATGGATAGACACTGCGTGCGCGCTCCGCTATGAAATAAGGACTCATTAGTTCCCTTAAGATAAAACAAACTAGGGGCAGCGTTTGACAGAAGTCTGTTTTGAACTGAGCCGATGGAACCTTCGACCTCATACCTGTTAAAATTAGGGATCCGTGGAGGACTGAACGTCAAAATACGGTTGGCATTAAGTAACTAAAACACGAAATTCAAACCAACATTTACTAACCCTTAATTTGCTTCATTCATTTTCCGCCACTTCACCCTAAATAACTCAAACTCTCAATACCTCGAAAATGCCGTTAACCAAAGTGATTTTTTCTCCCTTTTTGGGATAATTTTCTTTAAAATCTTAACCGTCATAGCTAGAACACTTTGGTCCCCAAACACAAATCGAAAACAGCATTCGCAAGGTAATTAAAAATGTTTAGTGATGTCAGTGTCTTCTTCCCATTCTTCAGTTACTCGAACTTCGATCACATTTCTCTAAGCAGTTAGAGCTCAAGGGAGTCAACTGTAGCACGACGCCGTTCATTTGTGATGAGCTGTTCTTAGAACACACACCAGATCATGTAGATGTTCCTTTTTCCGTTTATTAATTTTCTTCCAGTACAGTAACACTATATCAATTTTTGTCTCAATCTGCAAAATACATCTTAAGCTATTTTATGTACGAAGTAAACCTCTTTCCGCCCATAGAGGTACTTGACACTTTACAAAAGTTACATCTAGAGTACAGCGTCGTAAAACCCTTCAGAAAATCAACGCAACAGAAGGCCTCATAAATACTCGTACAATACAAGATTCTTTAAAATGCTTTAGTATACAAAATGTTTGATTATTAGCAAAGCAGAACTCGCAACTAGGATTTCCTCAAAGATACAACTCAGTAACCTCTGGACTCATAAGAAACACAAAAGTCAAAATATACATTTTAATATTAACTTTTCCTGTACAAGCTCACAAAAATATTACATGGTTGTTGGCCCAGGTCAAACAAGACCGTGTGCAAGATGAATGCAACACGTGACGATAACGGCGTATATCAAAGGAAAAACTGCGAATAATTATCACACAAAACACATGTCTAGTGTATCACAACAGGTCACATGACCGGTCATGTGGTGGATAACTTGTTAAAAGTAAGTGTGATTCAGAAACACGTTTTGTACTCTCTACTTGAAGTAGCACGACTTTGAAAATCGTTTCTTCCTTCTTACCGTAAATATGAAGTAAAACCGTTTACTTGAGTTTTATTTTGATGGCATTTTTAACAACTGGTATTTGGCCAGCAGGCGGAGGTCCTTCGTCGGTGAGTTCCTTTTCAAGATCCTACAATGGTTAAAAAGAGGGTCACAAATTTCTTTGCTAAGCTAGTTGTGATGCACCTTTTAGTGGATTTAATACTTCTCGATCGAGGATCGAGACGCTCGAGAATAGCGCTCCCCAGTTTCGAGAAGACATTCTATTCCCGCACGCAAAACAGCTTGACACGCAGCTTCAAGACACTGTCATAACAATAACTAATGAAAAATAAATTTTTAAGAGGTTAACCTCGTTAGCAGATTTGAGTTTCTTCTCCGAGTGTTTTTCCTCGTTGGTAGGAGATATCGATCGTTTAACTGCCGCCGACACTCCATCCTTCGATTCCACTGGGTTGTTACTCTGAAATAATAAAAGCTTGAAATTTTCAAGGATTCTCTTGAAGAACATCTATATGTCGCTGCTGATAGGTCTTCCCACAGTCACACGAGAAGTTTCCAAAAATAACTGACCAATCACTAACGAGGACCCAGGCATTTGTGACGAAATTTCACCATTTATTAAATCTAGTATGAAAGTGTCCGAAATTTCTACCAACTTAAGATGTTCCTTCTCAAAATGCGCACAGCCAAGCCGAACTCAAAGAAATATCAGATCCTTCCTACTTACATCGGTCAGATTTTCAAGTTTGTTGTCTCCTGTTTTAGCACAGTTTTCAGTCTTCGTTGATCCCTTCACGTCACTTTCCCTCATCTGTGTATTCGCATTAACCTGGAGGTGAAGTCAAGAGAAAGTCAACACTTCCATTCCTAAGCAAAAATTATTATCAATTGTTAATATGTTTATCAACGCAGGCAGAAGATATTGTAGAAGTTTGGTAGGAGGCGTATCACATCAGGGACTAATATCTTGTCTTTTTTCCTGCTTCTTGCTACGATTGCTCCTTGTAGATGTCCCATAAACTGAATTCAGTGCTGCAGCAGATGTATGATCACAGTTCTTCTACCCTGACGTGCTGTGTTTGCCCATCAATCTACTATTTCGTTCAGGTCTAGTCGAACACAGAGAAAGTTTAGATGCTTCTACAAGCCTAAATAGCAAATCAGGCTGGAGATTATCCTTGGAACATAAAGGGAATTAAGAGTATTACCCACAAATCGGATCGGATGCCTACAGAGTCCTGACACCTCAACGTAATGATATCAATAATAAAATACTCTCCTTTGATTTCATTCAAGCGACAACTTCCCAGTCTCTTAAACATCAAGATGATCATTTGCGGCACTTTTTTCTTATAAAACTAACCCTGATAAATAATGTTTATTGTCTGGCCAACTACATTAACTCACGCTGTCAAGATCCGCACCATCTTTCTTCTTCTCATGTGGACTTTCACCGTCGATAAGGTTAGAATTTGGCCGTTTCCTCCCGTCATTGCCGTTGAGTGAATTCACGGAACTGGTCGTCTTCAGAGAACGAATACAATCTTAAATAAGTAAGGATTGACAACACTGTCTACAAAGCGCAACGCAACAAAAAAATCATACGACAACTTCAGAGGCATCGAAGAAAGACTTTATAACAAACCGTGATTTCGGCATCATCCACTCGTCGTTTCTTGCTGCCCTTTTCGTCTTCTGAAGGAGATCCAGCACGCTTTAAACCAGCAGGCTGAGAAAAATGCACATCAATGTTACGGAAAAGACGTGTTGTGTTAGATCAATGACGTTTGACTTTCGAGCTGAAAAATTGGGATCAATGTCAGTATCTGAGCAAATGCGCACTACTCCTCCCCTAACCCAACAGCAGTCAACTGATAACAATTCAGGGTTATAGCTAGATTAGGGGAGGGGTAGGTGTGTAGTTGCTTTGATACTCCCATTAATTCACAAATTTTATTTTAAAGACGTAATTGTACAGGGATCCATTTGGTGCTTAAGATCGGTGGTTTCATGCACTGCTAGATAAAAACCGAGAATTAAGCTAATTACAGACACTGAGCGGATCTTTGTACGGCTCTATGTCATTAAAATTGATACTATGAGTCCAGTCACTGACGAACAGTCATCTGCGAATGTCACAGATTTGCCACGAAAAAACCGGCAAAAGAGAGGTTCTTCGCTGTATTATTGCCAACTACTACTTCGCAGCCAATTTTAACGCGTTTTCAAGGATGAAACTGTGGTAATAAAAAATATACATTTTGAACCCTGTTACGAGACGATAGATAAGGAAAGTTGTAACCTTAAAATTTGTTAATAACGCCATAACTAAAAACGAAAACTACGCCAAAATACTGCCATTTAACTCGAGTGTTGTTTTGATTCGCCAGTGTAAGTTGGCGAATCAAATGTCTCTCGCTTTGGCGAGACACAACTCTGTCTCAAAGATGTCAAAATGCGGCTCAGTTATTTAAGGGCCGCGCATACCTTGTCTGGTGAAGCCGCCGATGGCTGACTAGTGACAGAAGTTGTATCTGATGACGTCACTTCACCAACAGTGGAGACAGAGGAAACCGTGGAGTCTGGGTTCACCTTTTTGTCGTCTGAGCTACTGACCGTGGCTACACCTGCAAATAATAAGAGAAAGAAACAATAATATTTTTAAGATTCCAACAAACTAAGAAACAAAAGTGTTTCTCCCTACTTACGGTCACTAAGCCGGAATACTTTTAAGCGAGATACACACATCAGCAGTTTAGCCGCCTATCCTTGATGGATCAAGTGGTAAATTGCTGTTTTCTGGAAAGGAGTATCATGGCCTACTTTTATTTTCTCTTCTGTCGAGTGAGTGAAAGCTTTCTTTCAGAGAGCACTCGGCGCTGAATACGAAAACGTTGTTAGAAAAGTGAATTTGATATAAATCTCGGTGCAAGAATCTTAGGAGGAGGAAAAACCTAACAGGACACGAAAACACATGTCTGATAGCCAGTCAGTGTAATCAGTCTGAAATGTAGTCTAAATATATACAAATCTAAATATATACAAATCGACTCACTTGCTTCTTCGCTGTTTTCACTGCTTCCCGTCAACTCCACACTATCATTGCTGGGCTCTGAAGTGATCTCCAAACTCGCATCACTGGCATTAAGTGTCGAATCTAGAGACACGTCACCTTTAGCTGACTTCCCCCCAGAAGTCGCTGAACCCTAAAGACAAAACAAGAGTCATTCGTTTCTGTTGTTTCTCGACAATCTGACATAAGATGCATAGCATTATCGAAAAATTAAGGGGGGCCGCATCTACAGTTCAGTTTTTTAAAACTTGAATATTGATGAGCTGATTACTTTTAAAAAAAAAAAAATAAGCGTCATCGAACTCGTTCCTGAGTTACATGCGCATGAAACTGCATGAAGCGGTGTTCGTTGCAGGCCTAAGTATTGCTATGTGAACCTTGTCGATGGATGATGGGGCAATTTTTTCTTTTCACTCCACTTTCAAGGGGAAAAATTAAGAAAGTGTGCCAGCAACGAAAAATCGAATTAACATTTAAAAATAATGAAAATAATACTAAAAAAAAACCAGATAGGGAACATGCTCTGTCAATAATTGTACACAAATTTCACATCACACTCACTCATCCAATTGATCACAATCTCTGGTCGCAACAGATTAATTAGGAAGAGAACGAGCATTACATACTACCAAAGAAAAACTGGAGTCAAATACAACCAATACTATTGCCTCTCCTAGCGACAAAAGCTGGTCAGAGAAGCTGCCCTAACTTGTGGCAAATGGCCTTCGAAATAAATGTCCACATGTGATATCTAGTAAAATATTAAAATACAAGTCGTTTCATGACTTACTGGTTGTACTATGGAGCTTTTTTTCTTCTGTTTAAGCACACTTGGTGGTAAATATTTACTGAGTTGCTTCCTGCAATCACGAAGAATCTTATAATCAATCACTGATCCGGCTGATAAATTTCCTTACTACCGGCATTTGTCTCGTTAGGGGTGTGACTACAGTCTTCCATTATAGGTAGAAACTTATTGATCATTGTTTTTTTTTTTCATTTAGACTTAGTGACGTTAAGCCAAAGCCAAAATAATAAAACGACTAATCAGTAAAAAGAGGAATATCTAGAGCCAATGAGAACTCAAAAGTAAAATCATGTAGCCGGCCTCGCGCAAGAAGATACGGCGAGAAAATGATAGTGGCCAAGTAGTAGCTGGTTTTGGTTTTGCACTTGACTAGTCAAAGAAGTATTCAATTTGGTTTCGCTTAACTCCGCTCTGTGATTGGTCCAGAAACTCGCGCCACCCTCTCAACCAATCAAATGGAAACTCAAAGCAACCACAACTTGGTCTGTTGCGTCAGTTGCGTCTAACTGTGCTCTGTGATTGGTCTATAAAACTTGCCCCACGCTCTTTGTCAATCAGAAGGAAACTGACTCAAGTATCACTTGGTCGGTTGCGTCTTTCCGCGCTTCAGTGGGTTTGCTTTTTCTGAGTTCTTACAAGCTCATTTTGCCTTTGCTGTGATTGGAGTCGTCACTCAATTAAAAAATCGTGGTGCTTGGTGCTTTTTCTTCTCATCAATTCTCGACTGAAACTACTCTCGGAGGTACATGCAATGTAGAAATGGAATCCGACTAAGTTGACTCACTTTTTGACGTGTATAGCCTCTATTCTCATACCCTCTTTGAACATTTTGGCTGTCACTGCCTGGGTGTGGACTGAAGAGATAAAAAAACGGCTCATTTTATTTAACGGTAGCAAGTCAAGAGACACTATGTCAACTCATTTACTTCACCCAAATCTACAAGCATTTTTGCTAATTCTCCTTCTTCTTGCTGATAAAAAGACAAAGACATAGATGAAGTTATCACTGGCAGTTTTTTGTCTATTAAATTAGTAGATTCCATTCTCCTGATGCCTGTTAAGTTTTAAATAAGATATCAAAATTGGTGAGAACATCAGTTTAACGCTTGTCTTACGGTTTTGTGACACTTTTCTGTTAAAAATTTATGTACCAGTAACACCCACAGTGACGTAAAGCCTATGGCTGAATGGATGGACAGTGATGAACTGACAGACACAGATATTGACACAACATATTCATGAAAACAGGAGTTTAAATAAAGCCATGAAACATCAAATTCACTCTTAATAAGACTTAGAGATGTGGTACTAGAAGATTCACTATTGCGTGAAGGCCTTTGTTTCAGAAATCTGACATGGTTAGCTCTTGAAAGCTTTCATTCAAGTAACATTCATCCAGGTCACCTGTGGTAGAAAGCAAGTAACCGTGGCACACGAGCTCTGCCAAAGCACAGCCATGACTTACTGAGCTCAAAAAGCAAAACATATTAATAAATTTAAAAGCATAATCATATGATTTACATACCAGTATTTGTAAACATCTGAATTGCTCCTGTCAAATCTACATTTACATTTTCTGTCAACACAACAAAGTAGCAATGAGGTTAAATTTCAATTTAGTGAAGGACTTTTTGGTGATTTCTTTTCACAGCTCTATTACAAGTGAAAGTAAATAAAAGATAATACACTCTGATGAACAAGTAATGCTTACCCTTTTTTTCAAACTGTAATCCTATAAACCACCTGTTGGTGGGAGACGCTCTGTAATACAAACAACAAAACGGTGTCAAATCTGTAGCGTTTAACAGACAAACTCCATGTAGGTGGAAAGTCATTTCTCCTAAATCCTGCTGCCTAAAAGGTGAATCTTTTATTAAGGCTTTCATAGGCAAACAAGTCACAACTGTGATCTGTGGGCAAATCCTTTTAAAGCTGCAACTTGTGACTACACCTTTCCTTGTTTGCTGTTTATGAGAATTTGAAGTTATATCATGATAATTAATAATTTTGTTAGTTCTCATAAACTGTAGCCTCCTCCTTTATCTCCCTTTTGGTTAAGGTAGAGTTGCTGAGGTTGAAAAAGCAGTTGCAAGTTACCTTTTACACAAAAACAAAAGAAGCTTACTTGTCTGGTTCCAGTGGGGCAAATGATTTGGGCTTCACATGAGCAAGTGTCACAAACTGGGTATTTTCCAGGTTTGACACAAGTATTCTGACCTTGGACTCTACTAAGCCAATCCTAAAAGAGAGAAAAATAGAAAAGTAAATTACAAATTGAGATAGATCATGAATTTTGAGCTTGGTCTGAGAAAAAGGAGACAATATTAATCATCTTGTAACCAGCATGGAAAAAGAAAATGGATTTATTGTGACTAAATAAAAAAGTTACTGCCAAAAGCTTGGTGGTATCCTTGATCAACAGTCATTTTATTTCGCATGTGGGCAGAAAAATGAATGAAATGAAAAAAACTCACCATTCTAAGTGATCCTCTTCAGAGTTGGATATGGCACTTAACACAATATAATGTCTGAAACGTGGAGAATAGAATTCACCAGCAATAAATTACGCTGGGTGGGACACACTCTGCTTCTTGTCAATGCAGTCCATAAATCAAATAATATTGCAATTGAAAGATGGCACACCTCACAACAGTTTAAAAACTACTGGATTTCAAATTCAAAAGAGGTAGCAATATATGCAAAAGAAATGGCTGATCATTTTAAATTGTATATTCTGCCATTTACAATCACTGAGAATAGAGAACACTGTGACATGCCTATTGGCATTGAACGTCACTAAATTCTATAGAGAAAACTGAGGGATTGAAGAAAAGAAAATTCATTAAAAAAAAGACTCAAGACTGCCATACTAAGGCCACCTTCTTAAATGTTTTTGAGCAACACTTGAACACTCTAACAAGAAACACTCTTCAGTGGAATATCATCCACAAATTAAATGTTTAATAATTCTGTTCTGTTTTATCCATTTGGAAGTAAATGTTTTAGCTCATCTTGAATGCACATAACAAATAAGTAAAATTTTATTGTCTTGAAACTGAATCACAAGAAAAGTTCTTCCTTTTTATATCTGTACTGAAGAATTGCCATAAGGCATTATCGACAAGAACAGGTAAATAATCAAACAGCACACTTGAACACTCCACTTTTATTGCATCAGTTCTAAGATGTACATTAAGATTATACAAACCAGTGCGACAGATGCTTAGCTTTACAAAGAGACACAAGAAACAGCAAGAGATCAAGTACTTGTATTTGCTAAAGAAGTTGGGTGGTTGAAACAATGCATCCCATGTTGACTTGCCAATTAAAACATCACTTGTGATTGCAAGGCCTGGAACCAAAAAAGGTAAGTTTAAGACTACTGTATTCAATGAGTATGGGACATGCTTGCTTTGAAAGAAGCTATATATACAGGTGCTTGTGGGCCAGAATCATAATAATACTCTCTGACTAGTTTCTGTAGCATGAAGCAACTTGGAGTGTTGCCTCAACCTGTGGATGGAATGACAGTCCATCACACAGTCAGAAAACAAGCTAAGCAGTCAAAACCAAGAAAGCTTAATCCATGACTAGGAGTATTGCCACTCCGTAAACAGGACACTGCATGACATCAAAGCAGGTAGCCCCAAATATTTCATTAAGGGAGAGGGGGTAAGGGGGGTTGGGAGGTAATGCCCCTTGTATATTCATGCTACAGAGACCAGATAAGATTGGGTGTTATGGGTCACTGAACTGGAAAGAACATAACAGGCAAAAATGCACAGTATCTATTAATATACCATTAGAGTTTGCTGGCATACCAGTGAGCAAAGTCTAACTCACCGATTTCAAATTCTTCATTCATGATGGATCGTGTTGACATTGAGACATTAAAAGTGGAATTCTGCTGTGGAAAAGCTGGAGTTATGATAGGCATAAGGTGATATCGATCAGCTGGATTGTACTGTAAACAAAAAAGATTGAGATCCAAGTAAGCTTGGAGATGCAATGGACTGAAGCTACAGTGTGTAAGAGTAAAAGGGTAATTTAGTATAATCAAGTGAGTTGATAATGTAAATTGGTCACTGTAAAGAGTTTAAAAGCTGATGTTTTGAGTGTTAGCCCTTTGTCAGAACAATTGGAGGAACTGTGGGTTGTGTGTGTGTGTCTTTATATACAGAGTAACAGTTCATCAAATGATCAAGCAGCTGGCAATAAAAACTACTTTTAAAGACAGTGACTGACATTTTGACAGGCTGGTTGGAAGAATTTTTGGTTAGTCAAACCTTGTGAGTCTAAAAGAAAGGAAACTGACTAGCAGTTCCATGATGATATTTGATTGAAGTTTTCCAGCAAGTTTTGATTGAAAAATTAATGTGAGCAATCAGTATCCAAACACAAGACTTACAACATTAATTTTCCAAAGACAGACAACCCTTCATTAGAATCTAACATCACCTTCTGTTTTATGTTGTCACTGTCTCCATTACTGAGCAAGAGCATAGACCAATTCAACAAAAACTTCATTCACTTACCCTTGGATCCCAAACAGGAAAATTTAAGCCTAGTTTTTCAGCAGGCTGAGTGATATTCTTTAACAAAACTGGATTTGGCCAGTCCCTGAAAACAACAAATCCTTTTTAGAGAATTGCATATTGCTGCGTGCAACAAGAAGAAGAAAATCTTCAGTCTAAGTGGGTCAAATATCAAAATGACTTCTACATGTGTGCAGTGTACATGCATTGGTGTAAAATGTTATTAATGTAGTACTTAGTGATGACCTACCATTTTGAAAACACAAGAAAGAATTTTTGAAGAAGTGTTGCTGCCACAGCATTTGGATACAACTGACATGTGCGAGCGACTAACATAGCCCAAGACACACCACCAAGAAAACCTAATACATTGGAGTAAATTCCACGGTCTGAAAGAGCAGAGAAATTCAGAATGTTTTTAAAAGAAATCAGTTTTAAAATTGCCAAAGGCACTTTTGAAGGAAAAAGCCTTTAACACTCACTTTTTGCCCACAGTTTCACTGCTCTTAAAGTAAGCCGAAAGTTTTCTATATTGGGAACTAAGTGTAGGATTTCATCTGTGACACGACAACCTGAAAAAGACCACATCAAAACTATGTTACAATGTGTTCATGTAACAGTAATAATGCTGAAGTATACACACATTCAGAAGATTCACATACTTTTCCATGAAGTGGTTTATACAAATAAATTACACAGACAGTTGAGCTGGTAGTGTCATTCATCTTTCATGAAGATAAAATGCACACGTACTGAATTAAGAGATACACACACTGTGAAAGAAAGACTACCCAAAATAAAATTATCAACACGAACAAGAACTTAACTAGAACCTTACCATTTAAACTTCTGACACACTTGGGATCCAAGTTTTTCAGTAGGCTCTCATCCAGTAGACTTAGATCATCTGGCACCTCAGGCAGTGCTAGTCGGGCAAACAACAGGTCCATCTACAGGTAAAGGTCAAGACCAAATGGGAAGTAAGCTTACATACAAAAGTTTGACTGAAAAGAAGAAAAAACCACAACATACTCTGAGTAAGACTTACCTCTATGTTACAAAACACCAATTTGATGACTGGAACAAAGGCATTTTCAACAGCCTAGAAAAAAAGATACATACTCCTGAGTTCAGAAAGTTATCATTGAGAGCCTACACCACAAAGAAAATACAGAAAACAAACAGTTTAAAGAGGAATAAACAAAAATTGAAAAAGTTAAATTGGAAACAAAAGGTCATAATTCCAATTCTTGTCAACCTATATGTAAAACCACTCATTTTTTGAAAATAAAATTAATTTGAGATATCTTCATGAGTTGGTTGTTTGATGTCGATAAAATTCCTGTAAGTGTTAACAGAAGTATATAAACCGTACTACAGTTGTAAGGTTTGAAATGTGCTTGCAAACAGCTCAGTTTTGATAAAATGTCCAAACTAGACAGTTCGAAAATAATTTATCTTGTAGACTTACAATACAGCAACAAAATCTTACCCTTAGTTCTTTCACATCCTCATTATTTTTGAGAATCTCATAAAATGTCCCAAAGAAGTCAGATCGGTCAATATGACGAGGAGCAACAAGGAGGGTGTCAATATCAGCACCTAGATATTTCAATTACAGCATGTTGCCTTATCATAATATTACATGAGGTCAAGTTTCATTGTGGTTGATAATTAAAATGGTCTTGAAGGAGTTAAGTTACAGTTATACAGCTTGGAAACTGTAACCTAAATTCTTTGGTCATCATCTGTATCAATCTTTCCCACCTTTGGTCATTCTTATGCACTATAATTTTTGTGGTTTATTCTATATTCCTGTGGTTTGCACTCTCTTATAAAAAAGTGTATTCAAGTTTCGAGCAAAATATGATAAAGAAAGATGAAACGCGCAAGAAAACAAGATGGCCAATGGCCAACCATGCCACTCCTTCATTCCCACGAATGATAACACAACAATTACTCTTTAAATTACAATATCAACACACTGCCAAGCAGATCAGCAAAGAGAACTAAGAGAAATATAACTTCAGTATAGTTTTATTTACCACCAAATAACTTATTAAGATAAAATCATTTGGGTTTTTGCCTTCTTGTCAGACAAGGGTTCTATCATAAGAGAGGAGACCTTTCTTTCTCAAATCAAGACTCTTATCTCCCCAGAACATGGTAACCTACTTATGAGCAGTGATTTTTCTCAAGTACATGTAGAGGATGTGTAGCAATAATTACTTACCTTTTGTGTGAACACCAAGTCTGTATGAACCAAAGGTGAAGATCTTTCCTCCAACTGAATTAGCTACAGATTCTGGCATGTTCTGTCAAATAGAACAATTTTGATAAACTTATTTTCCATTTTATTTCTTTTTCCATTACAATTTCCTATTGTTGCCTTTAGATCTACAGGAATTTCAGTCATCACCATCATTTTTGGCCTGTCATTATTTATACCCTGCATATGTATATCAAACAAATAGAAACACATACAATTTATACTTTATCAATTACTCTGCTGTCAAACATGCACCTTGTACAAGGAATAATAATATTCCTACCAACCTTGGCTAGACTAGTATCAATGATCCATTGTTTAACCAAAGTGTTAAGTTTTCCAAGGACAACTATCCTGCACACCACAAAAATAGTTAAAGGAATTTCAGTTAGAATCAGAGAAGGTGACAGAAATTGAAGAGTGAGTGGGGAAAGGAAAAGTTGCGCCAAAGGTGCAACTAACAAATAAAATGCAAGACAATAATTTTCTGTGGCAACTGACACACAAATTAAATGTTCCTCTACAGTTGTTACATTTTAGTTAGGAGAATCTGGATACGGTTTGAAAAGGACATCTCATTCCTGAAAGCTTTCTCAAAAATTAACGTAACAAATTTCTCTTAAATGCTTACAACCATTTACTATCACAGGGGTAATAAAGAGAAAAAGTTGACTGCTTGCATAGTTATGGCTTTAAACTTAGCTCTTTTGAGCATCACCCAAGTGAATAGGGATAGTTAAAAAAAACTTATGCCCACATACTCTCAGAAACACACAAACCAAAGCAGAACAAAAGAAAACAAAAACAAAGATCACATATACTACCAAACCAACGCATACAGTTTGACAAATTGGCTCATTTTTCCTCACATGTGGTTGCTCATATATTTTTTTCTACTTGCCATAGCAACCAAAGCAGTCTAAGTAGAGCGCACTCTTCCTTAGGCTTTAAAATACTATATTCTAGTAACCTGTGTTGAAGCTCTTCCTCAGACTCAAAGACTCCATAAGGTTTGAGAGATTCTTCAAGTGCCTTAGTAAGTGTTATGTCCTGAGAAAATAATTTCAAATCATGCAACATTACTTCACTTCCCAATACTATAAAAGAATATGAAACTGCTACAACAAGTACTAGGAAAACTATTGGTTAGAGAGGACAAAATAAGTATGCAGTAATTGGTTCAATGACATCTGCACAAATTTTGTACAAATGTCATGCATGAATAAGCCAAAAGACCTATGGGAAATCTTTCATTCATAGTTCAATTATGGACCTAATCAAAACATGAAAGCCAATTACATGTTCAGATGTACATTTAACACTCCAGGTATCTATTGCATCACATAGGATGACACAAGTATTGTATGGTAAAGCAGTAAGATTAGTTTCCTATCTGCAGTGATAAATTTTCCAAACTACTGTACTTTCAAAAATGTTAATCCTGTTTCAGGAACATTATTTCTCTTTTTTTAAAATATCATGGTCAGTTATTTTGGAGTAAAAACGGTATGGCACACTAACGGACTGCAAATTTGTTGCTACTATACAGGTCAAATAAGGATCTAAAATTACTCCTTGCACACTCAACACGCTAATCTTTTGTAACGAACTTTAATCATAATATAGTTTTAGTCTGTATAGAATTACTCTGAGCAAAACTTATTCATCCTGCCTAATGCAGCTTCATAACTAAACAATTACATATGATGAGAATCTACACGTAATTAACTGGAAGACACGATCGATCATGCTTAAGTGAATTTATGATCAACTGTCCACATGTTCTTGTGGTCTGGATGTTTCACTTACCCCGGGCTTGGGTCCCGCCAAGGATATCGGGGAAGTAATCCCATAGGATTTTTGTGTCTGTCCGGATGCAGAGCTTAAATCAAACGAGAACATCAGTTTACGGCGCGAAATAGGAACAATTTCGTTGAGTTGAATGTAACAACACGAACACATGAAACCGGTTTCTTTTAAAATACAACAGACGACTTACCTGGACATTTTAAGGTTTCATAAAACCATACCATTCATTGGAGAAGCATTCTGTACGAATTCCAAGTGTCTCGACTGATTTGCGTACGCGTTTTCGAGCAAAATACAATAAAGAAAGATGAAACGTGCGAGAAAACAAGATGGCCGACGGCCAACCATGCCACAGCGCATGAGCGAAAAAGTTTTTAGATATTAGTCTCCTCGCGGTCAGTTCTATTGACAGTGGCTTTTGTTGGCCTGCAGAGCAAGCGGAATTTTGGTGAACGTTTCTTTCGATGCAGCAATAACAATAATAATAATAAGGAGCAATTGCTGAATACCCGGTTCTGCAGTTTAGCCAATAATAATAATGATAATAATAAACAACTGTGGTGTTTTTTTTAATCAATCCCTAGTTGGTCATGTTATGCTAAGGGCACTAGGTGTTCATTGCAGAAATTCGAAGCACTGATTATTGCTGTTTAACCTTGTCAAGGCAATTGCTTTGTGGGAAAAATAGAAATGTTGGGTGAGCAAGTGCTGATTTTCTCTGGCCAGCTTATTAGTGAGACTTCAGTGATTGAGAGACTGGCACGGCTTATTTAAAATCAGAGACTTGATGTATGGAAATCTCAAGAAAGGGATGGAAAATTTATTGGGCTTTGGATAGTATGCGGGTGTATGGAGGCAGAGAGTGGAGTGGAATGGGTGGGTTGTTACAGCCTTTTGGTAAAACGATCAAAACATTAAAAATGACAAATGTACTTTAAGAATTTTATAACACAGACCTGAATGTTTAGAGTATCAACTGTCTTTCAATTTTTGTCTAATATCTTTTGAACAAAAAAAGATTGAAAAGGTGTAACAATCTGTAAAACATCTCTACAACAGCAATAATCATAATTTTTTTGACAAGGAAATATATGCATTTACTGCCAATTTAGTTGACAGTAAGAGAATTTAACTCATCCAATATCCTTGGTAAATCAAGAACAGAATCTACAGTAAAATCTGGCCCCGGATCCTCTTCACTTCGGTTACATCCTTTAAGTTTTATCCACACTGAAGCCATTAAACCAGCATTTTTACTCCCTTGTATATCATGAGCAAGACTATCTCCAATCATGACACAGTTCTGTGGATCAACAGATATCAGTGAGCAAGCAGTGTTAAAAATCTCTGGATGTGGTTTTGGATGCGGGTGATCACCACTTATCACGATAGTTTTGAACAATCTGTCAGCCCCAGATGCTTTGATCTTTTCTTGTTGGATAACTGAGTCACTATTGGTGACAATTGCAATTTTGTAGTCTCTTGCCAGTTCTTGGATAAGCGATGAAATTTCATTTTCGATCACCATTTTTTCAAGCCGTGCTGATCTCCACACCTCGTACATTTCAACTGCTGAGGGTTTTTCACTATCGCCAGACTCACTATTTAATACATTTTCCCATAATTTCACTCGCCACGCGTGCTGATCAAATTTGAAAGAGTCCGGTGCCCACGGGTTTGTCTTGGTAACGAGTGTTTGATACTTCAAAGCGATGTTCTCTGCATCTTTAGCGTCGAAAAATTCAAGAAGCTTTTCCTTTGCTTTGTGAAATGCGTACAGGTCGGCCTCCACTGTGGGCACAAGCGTGTTGTCAAAATCGAACAAAATACCTTGCACTCTTTTCGAAGAGTAAGCCGCCATTTTGAGGATCAAAAACGTCAAAATGTGTCAGGCGTTACCGACTAGAGGAGTGGGTAGAGCGTTGAGGATGTGGTGTATCGAGAGCATAACAAAAGCATTTGTGCCAATGATAACAAAATCACTGCGGGATTACTGAATCATGTTAAAGTTGTTTAATCAAGTAACATGCATGATTCTACCAGCTTATTAGATAGGTGATCGATGAATGACGACAGAATAAAGAAAGCGATTAAAGAATGAAAGTTCTCCTCTAAATTAATAGCCAACAGCGGGGTCCTGTCTTTTCCTTTCTTTTCCCAAGGAGTTTTTCTTGACCGAGAAACCTTTGCCACACCGTAAGTTACAATGCAAATGCATGGCTCTAAGTGGAATGCGCTCATAAATGTTCAGTGTTTTCGGTCAGTTAAGCCTAATTAGCTTCTGTTTGATCTCACATTTATTAGATGTTTTCATTTATTGCTGTTTACCTAGTTATGATCCAATTTTTCGCATTTCAAAAGGATAATCGTCTGATCTGGTTTCATATCTAGTAACTTTAGTAACCTGAAGACCTAAATCAAGGTTATTGATAGTCATAAAACTCTCTAATACAGGGAATTCATGAGATGCCTGAGTAGATAAAATTATTTTGCCTTATGCGCTTTATGTACACAAGTTACCTCGCTCAATTCAACCGTAAATTGCATCTTATTTGCATTTTTGACAAATCAGCGTAGCAGTTTACGATTTAGCCAGAGGAAAACCAGTTGTTCCGCATGATGAGTGAAAATGGAACGAGTTCATATCTTTAGTATATCTATGGTAACCTTGCCTTTTGTGTAACAACGCGCATTTAAGCCTCTCGTGGGGTCAGGATTCCAGATCATGGCAGGTATTCATCTGCCCGATATAGGAAAACTGGGAATTCGTATCGCAACAGGAATTCGTGACAAGAAGAAAGTTGCTCCGAGTAACATGGCTGAAAACGCTAGATACCAAGCGCTTTCAACGAGACTTGAGTCCGAAAAACACGAGCGAAATAGGGTGTTGAATAAGGAAGAAAGACGGATGAAAAGGAAAAAGCATCGAATTGACAAACGCCGCCAGGACATCGAAAAAAGTAGAAGGCAAGAATTGAACAGCAATGTTGACATTAGTGACGGGAAATTATTTCTTCCTTCAATCTCTCTTCCTAAAACGGCTATTTCACATGATTACGGAGACGAGTTGTTCAACGAAGATCAGAAAGACTTCGATCAATATCCCGGTAAATCGTCGTCAGCTATATTCCCAATTCAAGACGAGTTAAGTCGGCTGTTAGACAGTTCTAGAAGTGATAGAAGATTAAGAGAAAAGAGGAAGATTGTCCAGCTACCTTCAATTGAAACAAGCTCGGGAGACAGTAAAATCAAACACAGAAAAACGGCTGCCTTGAGGAAAAACTTGAAAGCGAATAATCTAATGAACAAGGATAAAAACGCCTTAGAAATTAAAGATATGAATTCAGAAATTGAAAAGGAATTAGAAGTTCGACCAAATCCTCAAATAGAAACGTTCAATGTGTCAAATAAACAAGACCAGCGAGGGGACAAGGATATTTTCTCACCGACAGGGAAAGAGGAAGTTGGAAATGAAGATAACAGAAACGCTGAAATAACAGTCAGTACAGATTTTATTATTGACGAATCAATCTCCTCCGAAAATCCATTTAACTATTTGTTACTGGAAGAGCAGAGGAGGAAGGCGTTCCATCCGAATCTAGAGGACGCATTTAGAGCGATCAAAACTTGTCGCTACATTAGAACCCCTAGTCGTAGAGAAAAAGAAAGTGACTTTGATGAAGAAATCTTATGAATAAACCTTTTGAGTCTATGTTTTCAGACTTTACCATAAAAATTTATAAGTAAAGATTAATTGCACACGATATAGTGTAACAAAATTTCCATTATGTTTTAGTTTTTAACGCAAACGTTTTTTACTTCCTCTGTGGCCACAGAATCGCTATTGTCCTTTCAATTAAGTCTGGTCACATTCCTGCGTTTCAGGGTTCGTAACTTATTTGGTATTTGTTACAGACTGTTTGTTTACTATTCAGCGTTGATAAAAGATGAATTTCAATGTTGACATATTTGTCTGGTTTAAAACTCTTCTCATCGCCAAATTATACGCAACTTCTGTTCGATTTCTGAACTATCTGTGGTAAGAGGGCAGGCTTTCCTTTCTTCATTTAAAAAAGTAAAGTAATCTCTTGTGCTCTCAGTATTATTTTTTATTTTCGCGGCTTAGAGAAGTCAAATATCTTAAGACAAATTGAGTAAGATATCCAAAGAGATTTAAGATTTATGTAACAAAACTGCTGCAGAAATTCTTTAACCCGTTTATGTAGGGTAGTGATCGTGGTATTCATTCAAAGGACAGTTAAAGTCGCTGTATGATTGTATTTGTTACTAATCCAAAGCGCGCCGAAAATTCATGGAAAATTTAACGGTTCTTGAGCGATAAAGGTTAGACAATAATGATTGCAAAGATCTGTAGATCTGGGTCCCAATCGATATCAAATGAATCTAGTCACAATTTTATAATAAATTTAAATATTCCATGTTTGATGATCCACTTGTAGCAACACTTGACAAGAGAGTTTCCTTCCCTCCTTCCAAAGAGACTAAGGTTCATTTAAAAATGTGAAAGTTAAAATCAAGGTAAATTTGAGCCTCTCAACTGAAGCACGATTGTTTCAGAATTGAGTGGGCCATGAAAGGTTCCCGAAGTCTACTGAGTAGATGGACTTGACAACCTTGGAGTGCTTTGAAATTGAAGAAAAGGGCACATAATTTTTTTACGTCCGAAATTCTGTAAACTCTCACGGAGTCTTAAAGTAATTCATTAAGAATTACTGCTGCCCCCACCCTACCCCTGCTTGCACTAAATTGTTTACTTTCCGAGAACCTAGACCACAAACGGCCAACATCATTCAAATGAAGCGTTCTTTACTAAAATGTGACACCCAGGCTAAAGCAGAGAAATATTTCATTTCATATGCAAATGATGAGGTAGAATTTGAAATAATGAGCGATCATTAGAGAATGCGAATATTTTGCGCCTTTGAATGCAAACTTGAATTCCAACAACCTTGTTACTGTCATGCGCAGCTCTGCAGATGTGATCATTTTTGAATTGTCAACGGTGAGTGTTAGCTTTACGACACTAAAAGAGTTCGGATTCACCAAAAATCCTTCATGTTACACTTACATTTGGTGGCTGTATATGTCATTGCTCGTGGGGGAAAGCTAAAAAACATCGTGCAGTTCATAACAGCCAAGATGGGACTTCGACGAGTTTTGTCAAAGCGTTTATGATAAAACTCCTGCCAACTGATCACACATCGGATCTGCAGAGAACTTTGGGCTGGTTTGAATCGCTTGTAAGAAAGGGTGACTCGAGAGGAGAAAGGCTCTAGTGTGAAACAGTTCTGCAAAAAGACCTCGGGACCTCCAAGTAACAAC